GTACTTGTGATGATGTTGTAGGTACCCCGAGAGGCCCTTGAGTTTGCCGGAATGTCGATTAACTTCCGTTCCGGCAAATTCGGGTACTCCATATGTCCTATTTTCAGCAAAGGTAATGCTGAAATTTTTCGTGAATTTTAGAATTACTTTGCTAAAAATAGGACATACGGGGTACTTGCGACTAATGCCTGTTATCATGCATGGGTACTAATTGGTCTCTTCTGCTGCTTATCAGAGATGGCGGGAAACAGCCACCGCCGATCTGCGACACCGCAGTACGAGTTGGATGCTTCCGAGTTCTTCACTATCATACTTGAGGCTTCAGTATCATCCATGATGCAGGTATATAAAACGAGAGATCTCCCCTTCACCCATCTCATTATGATATCTGTTGTTTGCTACATCACTCATTGTCCCAAACTGCAGAGGCTGCCTGACAGTTTTATGAACATGCTGATGGGTGAAGATCCGCCAAATAATGTGAAGCTGCGACAGGCCGGCAGCGGGTTTCGCAGGCAGTTGGATGTGCAGTTGGTGATCAAGAAGGGCCACATGTACTTGTCTCGTGGGTGGGAGAAGTTCTATCGTGCCTACGACCTGCAGCTGGGGTACTTCCTTTTCTTCAGGTACGACGCTGACGCCAACATGCTCATCGTGAAGGTGTTCAACAAGACTATGTGTCGCATGCACTACACTGCCGATGATGATGCCGGTACGTTCTGCCTCTTCTTATTCCTCTACATTTGGCTTTGTCTCACATCGATTGTTAACGGTCATTGTTGCATTTTGGACAGGTAATGGGAGCAGCAGCAGCGACACTGGCTACAGCCAAAGCAGCAGCGACTATGGCTGTAGCAAAAGCAGCAGCGATTCTGGCTGTAGCGAAAGCAGCAGTGATTCTGGCAGCAGCATAGACAACAAGAAGGATGATCCGGACTGGAGTGCGGGAGAAGAGGAGCAGACTGAGGATGAGGAGCTGCAGGATGACGATGGACATCAGGCTGAGGATGACCTAGCGCTGGTGGTGGCTGACCAAGGGCAAGAGAAGGTGGTGGCTGACCATGGGCAAGAGATGGAGGTGGCTGAGGATGACCTAGCGATGGTCCTGCCTGAAGGTGGCCTCGCGATGGTGGTGGTGCCTGGCAATGACCACGCACCGGTGGTGGCGCCGGCGATCCCACAGCTGGGCGACATGACCACGCCAATTATGGTAGAATACTACATCCCATTGCCTCCGGTGCCTCCACCGCCTCACCGCTCTAGGCGCATCAGTGAGAGGAAGGAGAAGAAGGAGAAGAACAATGCATGAGAACTGAACTTTGTCAGGTATGTCAGATCTCCTATAGGTTAGCTATCCAAAATGATATATATATATATATATACTTAGTTACCTATGTTATCTCTAATATGCTTAGTTTCCTATAGGTTAGCTTCATTTTTACCTAAGTTGGCTCTAATATACTAATTTAGAGCTTATATGCTTAGTTTCCTATAGGTTAGCTCCAAAATAACTTATGTTAGCACAAAATGATCAAGTTTACATTATAAGCTTATAGTCTTTTTCTTATTCTTCTTCTTTTCCAAAATGACATAGGTTAGCTTCATTTCACCTAAGTTGGCTCTAATATACTAACTAAGAGCTTATATGCTTAGTTTCCTATAGGTTAGCTCCAAAATAACTTATGTTAGCACAAAATGATCAAGTTTACATAATAAGCTTATAGTCTTTTTCTTATTCTTCTTCTTTTCCAAAATGACATAGGTTAGCTTCATTTTACCTAAGTTGGCTCTAATATACTAACTAAGAGCTTATATGCTTAGTTTCCTATAGGTTAACTCCAAAATAACTTATGTTAGCACAAAATGATCAAGTTTACATAATAAGCTTATAGTCTTTTTCTTATTCTTCTTCTTTTCCAAAATGACATAGGTTAGCTTCATTTTACCTAAGTTGGCTCTAATATACTAACTTAGAGCTTATATGCTTAGCTTCCTATAGGTTAGCTCCAAAATAACTTATGTTAGCACAAAATGATCAAGTTTACATAATAAGCTTATAGTCTTCTTATTCTTCTTCTTTTCCAAAACTCTTCTTATTCTTCTTCTAGTGTTCTTCTTCTTCTAGTATTCTTCTAGTCTTCTTCTTTTTCTTCTTCTAACTTCTTGTTTATCATTTTGCAGATTTGATTTAATTGACGGAAGCTTGCGTGGATGGAGTGCTTTTTTTCCATTTGTGTTTTTATTTTGTATCAATGTGAAACTTTTGTGAATTGATGGATAACGGTATTGGATGAACAATGTGAAACTTTTGTAATATGTAACGACGGAACTATGTGTTGGCTATGTATGTATATATGATGAAACTTGTGTGTTGGATATGATTGTTATATGGATGCTTGTTGTATATATATGTGTTCAATATCTCATATGTAAAATAGTGACCTGAGATTAAGAAAAAACAAAAAAAATAATTTTTTTTTACTAATGGCGCACTACCATGTGATGCGCTATAAGTATAGCAGATAATAGTGGCGCACTGCGGGCAATACTAATGGCGCACTACGTGGTGCGTCATTAGAATACCAGATTCTAATGGCGCACCAGTGGTGCGCCATTGGTAAAAAATTCTAATGGCGTGATACTAATGGCGCACTGGTAATGCGCCATTAGTAGGCAAAACCAGTGCGCCATTTAGGCCTTTTCCTAGTAGTGAAAATGATATAAAGTTGCTATAAATTGATTGTAAAACTTCCAAGAATGATAATATAACAGCATGGAACAATCAAAAAAAATATAGATATGTTGGAGATGTATCAAACCCCAATCTATGTAGCATTCAAAAACAAATCTAATAATCATGAGTAGCCTTTAAGCATAGAGATCCCTATCTCTCATTAAGATCTGTCTAACATTGTTGCAACGAATGTAATACAAAAAACCCCATCCCCCATACAGAAAACCCCATCCCTCAAACCAACTACTCTAACCATATGTACTACCCTACTAATCACAATCCAACCAATAAAACTAACTCTACAATCTAAATATTGCAACTAGGGTACAAGCAAATGGAAGTACCTCCTGTAGCACCTTTTCCTCGCTAGGCTGCGCATCTGGATGGACTGCGGTGCTCGACACTGTCACCTTCAGCTCCGGCAGCGCCGAGGCGGAGCTCGCTACCTCCTTCTCCAAATCCATAGCCGCAACAGCAGTTGCGAGTTTCCCCGCACCACCGTGGACGCCGCCAACGTCCTGCACTGCATCTGTCGCGGTCACTGCGCCCTGCAGATCTCCGGCCGCTGCGCCGACGTCGCCACGAGCGTCTGCCATCGGTATGAGGGAGGAAATGAAGGTGAGGGAGAGGATGCGGTGGGGGAGAGCGAGACGGTGCGGTGGAGGAGAGCGAGACGACGCGGTGGGGGAGAGGGAGACGATGCAGCAGGGAGGAGATTTGGGGGAAAATGGTAGGGGCGATGTGCCCGTAGGTGGTTCCACCTCTTATACGATGGGATGTTTTTGGCATGTTCCATGGACATGTGCCACCTCACGACCGCGGTCAGTTGCATGCAAAAACGAAACGCCTACACGGCCCCACCGGTCAGAGTTAATGGTCAAGCCATTGACCCGACGACAACGCCCAGTTTGCTCATTTGTGAGAGTTTTAGACGAGGGAACGGGGAAAAGTGAGCAAAAGTTAAGAGCGTGGGAATGAATGAGTACAGCTAAGAAACCAGGGGCACGGATGTAAAAGTCCCTTTAATATAAGATAAGCAATTATTATTGTACGCTACATGGCAAAATATCACTGCAGATGGTCTTTTTGTTAATTTTCCGTTTTTATTTTTGTTTTGGGCCAGGTGGCCCAGAAAGGTCTTTTCTGGCGTCAGCTGTTCGGGCTGGAGAGGATGATTCCATCGAATGAAATTGTTACACCGAACCTTTCATTCGGCCTGGGAAGCTCCCAGACTGAACATCAGGTTCATGAGAGTTGGCGTGTGATACTCAAAAATAAAAGAATGAGAGTTGGCGTGTGTGTTGTTGTAATCTGAGTAGAGTAGATTGAGACGATACAGTTTTGCTAAATCTCAGTCGATTGAAAATTAATTATGTCTTAGTTGATTTTATATTTGTGATATCTTACGTTGAGATCTATGCAAAATTTTCTTTTTAGATTTTCTTTTATCTAACGTACATGTTATGTCACTTGACTGATACTTGGTCTAGCCATGCCCATTGACATAACTATAGGAGGAAATCCCACATCTATGTTTTTTTACGGGATAACTAGCTAACGATAGAGGATCCCGTCAACCAACTCATCTCCTGGGCCGTATATATGTGCCGTTCCTGCATCAAACATACACTTCATCGGATCCAAATTTTTTGGGTCCTAGCTAGCATATATCGGATCCAGACCAGAGGCGATCGGGATCAAAATCAATACGACAAACAAGGAAGAAATCGATATAAAGCCCCGATGGCTCGTCCGTGTACGTGATCGCCCGAGCAAGCAAGCAATTGATCTGCTAGCAGTAGCAGCCGGGAGCCGGCCATGGCGTCCACGCCTTTGAACAAGACGGCGTCCACGCACAGGTCGACGTTAGTCCGAGGCAAGCACCAGTTTCACATCGTCGGCTACAGCGAGCGGAAGGCTCTCGCCGGCGTGAGCGCCAGAAACAGCAACTCCTCCGTCGTCAGGTCCGGCGACTTCGAGGCCGGAGGATGCACCTGGGCCATCAGTTGTCGCTTCAGGAAACACGGACTGGCGTCCATCTCCCTGGAGCTGGTCAGCGGTAAGTACGCCGCCACCGCCATGGCAAGCTTGAGGATCGAAGACCCACTTCACCGGTGGCCTGCGGCCTGCCGCAGTATGGCGAAGCCCGGGCACCAACACCTTCCCCGCTTCGCCGGCAACAACAAGCAGGAGTTGGAAGCTGTCGGTCCCCGAGGCGTTCTTCCATGGCCAAGAGGAGCGGTACGTGGTAGATGACCGCCTCACCATGCTCTGCGTCGTCCATGTCCTCCGGCTGGACGTCACCCTCCCAAATACCAGGAGCTGCTTCATCTCCGCCGTGCCGCCGCCAACCATCTCCGGAGACCTCCTCATGCTTCTTTTTGCGTCGATGTCTAAATCGGAGTCCGTGAAGCACGTCATGAGGCCGGACGTGACGTTCATCGTGGAGCAGACCGAGATCCATGCACACAAGCTTGTCCTCTCCGTGCGGTCACCAGTTTTCGCGGCGGAGTTTCGGTGGCACATGGATGAGAGTATCATAATCAGGGTCGACGACGACGACGGCATGAGCGCCTCCACTTTCAGGGCCATGCTTCGCTTCATCTACACCGATGAGCTGCCCGTCAAACCAAACAACGACCGCATGATACTAAAAAGCGAAGATAAACATGCGGCATGGCGCTACGAGGCCATGGTGCGCGACCTGCTGGTAGCCGCCGATCGGTATGACTTACAGAGGCTAAGGCTCTTGTGCGAGAAGGTACTGGCTGAGGGCATGGACGATAAGTCTGTCATACCTACATTGATGGTGGTGCACGGTAGGTACAACTGTCGGCAGCTCGAGGATTTATGCATCAAGTATATAGCATCGCATCCTAATGTTTACAGTGCCCTGAAGGCAACCGAGGAGTATAACCAGATCAAGAATAGTTGCTGCTCTTTCCTACTCGAAGTCACCGACAAAGTAGACACGATCAATATGGCTCCAAACTGAAGCTCCAACAAAAGAAAGCGAAATGCTGGCTTGCCAGATCAGGTGGTAGTCCACGGCTCACACAAGTTTACGATCCCCTACTTTAGGGCTGTCCAGAGGAGCCTGCTTCCTGTTGGTGAAAATACCATCTGTTCCGGCCTTTTTCAGGTTGGCGGCTACAACTGGCAGCTATGGTTATACCCATCCAATTCTTTGGCATTCGTTGTGTATCTCTGTTTGGTGAGGAGTAGTTGTGAAACTTCCCCTGTAACTACGTCAATTGGCTTCAAGATAGATGACCCTTGTGGCAAGCCGTTGCCGCCGATAACAATGGTAGAAGAAATTTTTACCAATGCAGAAAATTTCAGGCTTGCAGAGTTCACCCTCATGAAATCAACCAACTCCTCACATGAGGACTCCCTCACTGTACACTGCCATCTCAATGTCACCAAGGAGGCTGCTTGCACTAGTTCTAGCACCATCGGATGCCGGAGTCACGGTCGTTGTGCCTCCACCCTACATCGGTTTGCACCTTGAGCAGTTGTTGGTGAGTGGGAAAAGGTCCGATGTGAGGTTCCTGGTTGAGGGCTGCGACATCCGCGCTCACGGGCTCGTAATCGCGGCTCGATCACCGATCCTATACCAAGTGGTTGAAGCGGCGGCGGCTAAGGAGGACGACCATCATATCGTATGGGTCAACGACATGAAGGCAGCAGTTTTCAGGTCTGTTCTCCACTTCATCTACACCGACAAGCTACCCTCTACAGATAACCCAGTCCTTCCTGTTGAAGACATGCTTGCGGCAGCCTGCCAATTCCGTCTTGAGAGGTTTAAGATTGTGTGCGAGAACTTTTTGGCTGACCACATCTCGAATAAGAATGCATTGTACACGTTGAAACTGGCGCACCGTCACCACTGCTTGGAGCAAGAAAAATACTGCGTCAAGTTCATCTCGAGATGACCAAACTGTGATGAGAAAGAGATGTTCCGGCTAAATAAAATCTATATGATTTTTTGGTCAACTCTATTACCATACATTGACTGATTTGTTTGTTATCTCGGTAGTTCTCTTCTCTCATCGTCTTCTTATTCTTAGTGTTCAGGAGATTTTTAAGCCCCAATGGTTCTGGCCTTCTGGGGCTTTTGGGGGATTTGGTGAATCCCTTCTCTTCACCAAATCCCCTTCTCCCCCCAAACCCCTTCCCCATCTATAATACTCGAGTGTTTGCTACGCAGGGAGAGATTTGCTTCATCTTTGTTTCAACATGTAAATGACTAAGGGCTCTCATAACATACAATTTCATTCCAACATAGCACACACCTGGTGATAAAAATCCAATCTTTACTACGACAGGAACAACCATATAATACATCAACTACTACTGGAATCAATAGAAACATAATGTTTAATCGCTCAAAGGGCATACGAACCAAGAGCATCAAAGGCAAGCATGAATCATGATGCAACAGCACCACCCATTTGCTTAACAACAACACAATCTACTCAACTACTGCTTCGAATTCTAGAGTGTTAGATTGTCAATAAACCGACGCCATGAGCCATTGTTCTTACCTGCTAGTGACTGGACGTCTGTAACCACCCCTGAAAATGCAAAAAAGAAAGGGCATCGGTTTTGTGATGACGCTGACACAAATGCATCACTTCTTCAGTTCCATTGCCTCCCTGAGAGAAGCATGTCGATCAGAACATCAAGCATACAAATAACTCAGGTAGCTCAATTAGTCAGTTCGACAAAGGCAACTATCTTGATCTATATATGTATATTTAGGGTTTAGGGTTTAGGGTTGCACATATGGAGATGGAGTACATTTCTTTTTATCATAGTAGTGGTAGAATACAAAATGGGGGTTCACTTTCTAACAAAACTGCTCGGGTTATTTGTATGTATCTTTGCTCATAATATTGCACATGCACATTTTTTTATATCTATCTTGGACTGGTAGAGCTAATTAACCGAATTAATTAGCAGAAGCTAAGATAAACTAGTCCTTTTTATAATAGTACCGTGTACTGACTGGACTATGCTCATAGTAATTGTACATGATCTCAAGGCTCAGAACAGTGCCATGTACTGATTGGATTAATTATCATATACTCCCTCTGTAAACTAATATAAGACTTTTAGAGGGACATAGTTCTCAGCTGATGCTGGTTGGTTCCTAGTCAAATTTAACTAATTAGCTTGCTACCCAAAAAAGGAGATTAAACAATAACTGTATTTTGACTGTAAGATCATGTCAGAATTGCATGTGTGATCAGAAATAGCAGGTAATATGTACAAGCAGGAAACTCACAGCAATACCTTTTTTTAGACAAAGCCTATTAGCACTTCATTGCAATATAGAAAGGTTTACATCTTTGATTACGTGCGATAAAAGGAAATCTGGGGGTTCATCCTCCCATGACAGGAAAATCTTTGAGTCATACGCATGTCTTGCAAGGATGTGTGCCAAGTTGTTTGCTTCCCTAAGACAATGAAGAAAACTTGGATTTGGTATATCATGTGCAAGCTGATAGCAGACCGCCAAGATTTGGTGCCCTGATCTCCATCTCTCCCTTGCATGCTTCTATAATTTCAAGACAATCAGATTCCATGGCAACTCTGGAGCAACCCGGGGAAATATCAAGTACTCCCATCCTTGGGGTACTCCCTATGCTCCAAGTCTAAAACATCAATTTTAAATATTTTAAAATTTCTGAAAAAAAATTGTGAATATTCACAAGGAATGTGACAAAACCCCCTCAAATTTTCAGGTCCAAACTCGAAATTTACATTGAGAAACAAAAAAGACAAATTCAAATGTGAATAGTGTAAAATGTTGCTTTTGTCTTTTTATGGCACTATTCCTGCTAGATTTTACATTTTTGTTTCTCAATGTGCATTTAGAATTTGAGCTTGAAATTTTTAGGAGTTGTGGTCACAATCCTTGTAAACATATAAACTTTTTTCAGAATTTTTTGAAACATTTAAAATTGATTTATTTCAAGTTGGAGCATGGAGAGCACCCCAAGCATGGGAGTACTTGATATTTTCCCGGAGCAACCCCTCTCATGAGCTAGTTGTAGGCCTCATCTCAATGCCCTCATAGCAATATTTAATATAGTTTGAGTACCAAAAAACACTGTACACTAGTAGAAATTGGGATATTTGTCCCGGTTCCAGAGGGCCATTAGCCCCGGTTCTGGAACCGGGACTAATGGGTCGAGACTAAAGCGCCTAACACCTTTAGTCCCGGTCGCTTACGAACTGGGACAGATGGTGGTCCATGTGGCTGCTGCGGTGAGCTCAGGCAGGAGGGCCTTTAGTCCCGGTTGGTAACACCAACCGGGACCAAATGACATCCACGCGTCAGCAGCTCAGGAGCTGGGGTTTTTTTTTTGAAGGGGGGGGGGTTGGGGGTTTTGGAGGGTTAATTATTTAGGGGTTTCATATATTGTGTTAGCTAGCTAATAGCTAGAGAGAAGTGACCTCTCTTATCTCCGTGCTTGGTCGACGCTAGCTACCATACGTATAGAGAGAACTTGACACGCTAGCTATTAAGCAAATGAAGGAAACATTAAGTATACAAGATCGTCATGAACATATACAGAGAGAAGTGACCGACCTCTCTTTCTCCGCGAGATTGGTCGAACAACAAGTTTCCGTATATCTATCCGACGCCACTAGCTACGTATATACAATAAAAGATCTCTTACAAACCCTAACATCTAAGGTCTATTTGAACTTCCACATGGTATTCTCCGTCTTTATTTATGATATAGTCAAGAAATAATCCCGCCAATTCCTCTTGAATTGCTTGTATGCGATTACGTGGTAGGAGTTCATCCCGCATCTCCTACATCTAATTTAAAAAAGTGGGTCAATACATGTATATGAATGAAACTCAACACAAATGATGGTAATAAAATAAAATTGTGAATATTATTGTTTACGTACATCAAAATCTTTTTTAGAGTAGCCCCGCTTAGATTTCGCCGAGTTGTAGATGAACTCACAAACGTAATATCCATAAAATTCATTCCTGGCTTCTTGCCACAAGACCTATATGGGAAATAGAGCTCAATCAAACTGATAATCAAGCATGCTTAATGGTTTGATGAAACTAGCTAGAATCAATATGAGATGCGCGGAACTAGCTAGTAGTACTTACTTTTGAGTGTGTAAATCGCAGCTCGTTCGACAATGCCGGAACAACGGCGGTGAACTGTTTCCAAACCCTGCAAGACAAAGAGAATAATTACTTGATATCAGGAAATGAACAAAGTTGCCGATATGGTACGATAATAATCGATTGAACTTACTCCTGGAGCATACCAGTCATGTTCGCATACTCCTCGGGACTTTTTCTTCTAGAGTCCAAGACAGTTACTATTCCAGTTTCAAGCTTAATCTCTAGCAAAATAAAGTGAAAGCTGCACACGCATGCATAACTCATCAATTACATTACTATAATTAACCTCGAGTAAGGGAAACCGAATATGCACAAGACAGTAACACTCAATTACTGGAAGTTGTAAAGAAAGAGTATTTTATCTTTGTTTTGATTTACAAGAAATGATTGTAGCATGCTGTCCTCGGTCTCTTCCACTTTGGGTTTGAGCGTGTATTCATGTATGATATTTGGGTTAATGAACCCAATGTCATAGATATTTTGTTTCGTGCATTCGACTATCTTCAACCTGCATAATATAGCGAGGATAATTATATATACATGCAATGAAAGAGCTGAGCTATATATAGAGACTTAATTACAGAAGTAGTACTTACAGACAGTAGCAAGTCACGAGTGTTTTGTTGAGGGCCTTTTCATTGTATAACTGGAATAACTCGTCAAATTCAATATTCAAAATATCCATTCCAATGAGGTCATGCTCCTCTTTAATTCTCATCATAAAATTATGCCTCCCAGACTGCCTGCATCTTTCCATGTACCAGTCATGGAGTCTTCGTATCATCGTTGTTAGACAAGGAGGATCAGGTTTGGCGAAAGGTCTCCCG